GGTAGCCGTCCCTTGGCCGATACACACAAACCACGCCAGTGTGTAATAACTGCAGAATGTCCAGCATCCTCCCGCGGCGGCATTGGCGTGTTGCCAGGCACTTGCCGCCATGAGCAGCTGTCGTGAACATCCGCGCCGGCTCGTTATGTGCTGGGGCTTTGTCTCTGCGGCGCGGCTTTACAAAGGCAGCCTTATTGCGGGGCCGTCATCCAGAAAGGCGTCTACGCCTCCCCCGGTGTGGGACAGGGCCGATTCCCCGGCGCCTGGGTTATCAGTATTTATCATTTTTCCGATCGCACACAGACAATGCACACGACCCCATGCGTAGGTGACATTGCACGGGTTTATTTATTCGGCTTGACAGCTGGTGAGGTTGGCCTCCCTGTGCTGAGCCAGGTTCGCGAACGTCAGGCAGGGGGCGCTGCAGACCTTCTCAGGATGTGAGGAGCGCTGGAAAGTCCTCCCAGAAAAAGAGTGCGTGCAGCACGCATGTCTCCAGACCATTTCAGGGGTCCAGGCGGGGGCGCCTGGTGGGCGCTGACTGTGACGCAGACTGCGGCATCCGTGACATTTGCGATGAACACAAACACCGGCCTTTTCTAAATGTTAATGGGTTTCTCTGCCCTCTGCCGGGTGCTTGCGAACTGGGCGCGCCCTGCAGAGGCACAGCCCAGGGCCTGGAACTTTCCTCTCGCCTGAGAGGTTTTCTTCCCTCTCCTGCAGAGCTGACCCTGGCGTCTGAAGTTCAAAACGACTTTCTAAAGCTGCCGAGGAAGCTCTGTACTTAATAGCAAAAAATCAGCAAGTGTCAGGGACATTACTTATCCCCCAAGCTGGGAATGAGCCGTTCTGGATGGAGACGCCTATGGTACAAGGTTTGCTGAGGATGGATGAGGCTCTCTGCGAACCGGGAGACTATTGATTCCCGGCGAGTAAACACTGGAAGCAAATTAAGTGGCCGTAGTGATAATAATAATAGCAATGCCTGCTGTTTGTCAAGCGTCTGCTCTGTGCCAGGCACTGGGTCCCTCCAGCAACGACAGGGGCAGGTCTTATTACCAGTGTGACCAGTGAGGAAAGGGAGGCTCTGAGAAATACAGCTGCTTGGCCCAGAGCCGCACAGCCGGTGGCAACGGACAATTCCAAACGGATCTAGCAGCTGGCAGGGCCCGGCCCTCCCGGGAGGTCGGGGGGCCACCGTCGGGGCTTCAGGTCCAGAGGGCACAGCTCACCTTGGTTGTCTTATTTCACCAACAGCCAGGTTGGCAGGGAGGTGATGGGGCCCGTGATAGACAAAGAAGCTGAGGTCCTGGGAGGCGACCATTTGCCCAGAAGTCACACACTGGTTAGGAGTGAAGAAAGGAGTAGACTTCTGGACCACAGATATACCGGACGCAAGGCAATGGGACTAACTCCCAGCAAAACACAGCTGCCTGCAGTTGGCTCTATTTGTGTATTTTTAAAAGAGAGACTGGCGCGGGTCTAGCATACCAGTTCCAAATGGAGAACTTTCTTCTTGTTGGAATTAAAGGAACTGGGAGCGGTTTGAAAAGGAGAGGACTTTCGCCCTGGCCGGTTTGGCTCAGTGGACAGAGCGTCGGCCTGCGAACTGAAGAGTCCCAGGTTCGATTCCGGTCAAGGGCATATGCCCGGGTTGTGGGCTCGATCCCCAGTGGGGGACTTGCAGGAGGCAGCCAATCAATGACTCTCTCTCATCATGGCTGTTTCTGTCTTTCTCTCCCTCTTCCTTCCTCTCTGAAATCAATAAAAATATATTTTTTTAAAAAAAGAAAGAAAAGGAGAGGACTTTCTCACCCTAGGTTTCTGTGTCACTTATGGGTGTCAGGAGCCACCTAAGTCCCCTGAGATGCCATGGGAAGCCCTTCCACCTCTCCAGGAAACGCTGGCTGGTGACTGTGCTTCAGGGAGAGGGTCCAGGTCTGGGGCAGAGGGCAGAATTGGAGGTCAGAGCCCAAGCTCAGCTCACACCTCGTGGAGGAGGCCCGAGGTCCAGAGGGACAGCCAAGGCACCCGCATCCAGGGCCTGAAGGATGCTGGAGACCAGGCCAATAGCTAGGATGCAGAATAAGGCTCAGGATCTGTGTTTAGCTGCCCCTGAGACAATGGGCGGGGGGGGTGGAGGGGGGGGGACCAGAGGCTTGATGGCCTGGAAGCTGGGTCAGCCAAACCAGATGTGGGAAAGATGTTCAAAGCTCCCTCTGAACCACAGTTGGTGTCACCTCTTCCTAATTCACACTGACCTCAGGAGGATTGGGGGCAACTTATAACTAAACACGTACAAGAAGAGTGACTCATTACAACGCACTCAAGGGGGAGTGGGCATTTGCTCCAGGTGGGGCCTGATCGTGGCTCTGAGCATCCTGGCGGCCAAGGCGAGCAGAAACACAGCTGCACCTGCTTAGAGTGAGTGGTTCATCCCTCCAGAGGGGCTCCTAGTTCCAAGGACTGTTTCCAGGCTGACGTCGGGCACACTCATGAGCCATGTCCCTGACGGCAGAGATGCTGAGGAAGCCGCCTTCCTGTGGCCACCAAGCAATCCCGGGCACTCCATGGCATTCTCATGGGGGCACTGGCCTCAAAGTGTCAGGTCATCCGTTCTGTGGTGACAGGAACAAGAGAGTCCAAGAAAGGCACCAAGTGGTTCTCCTATCTTCCCTCTCTCTCCAACACCAAGAATTTAGCCTTTGACTTCAGCAAGGTTATCCCACCAAACTCTCGGATGGTCACAACTCGCACCTATTGAGCACGTCCTACTTCCTGGGCCAGTGATGGCGAACCTTTTGAGCTCGGCGTGTCAGCATTTTGAAAAACCCTAACTTAACTCTGGTGCCGTGTCGCATATAGAAATTTTTTGATATTTGCAACCATAGTAAAACAAAGATTTATATTTTTGATATTTATTTTATATATTTAAATGCCATTTAACAAAGAAAAATCAACCAAAAAAATGAGTTCGCGTGTCACCTCTGACATGCGTGCCATAGGTTCACCATCACTGTCCTAGGCCCTCCCAGCACTCTTAGGGACCAGGCACCATGACTACCCTCCATCTTCTATCCACAGGGCAGAGCCAGCAAGATGTGATCTGGGGTCCACACTGACCCCAAACTCTGCATCTCCACACTAGCCCCCCAGTTTCTTGCTCTAGTGACTGAGAGCCCAGGCTTACAGGAAATACAAGATAAAGGGAGGGGGCTGGATTTTATACCCAGAAGCCTGGCCCAGCTCCTTTCCCAAAGGAAGCCCATTCTCTCCTCGGAGCCGTGAGGCCCACCTGGCCCCTGCAAACCCCCGCTGTTTCACCGCTAACCACCGTCCCCACGGCCTTGGGCCTAAATGGATTCTAGAGTCCTACACAAGTGTTTGAGATGCCCCAGCCCCAAATGTTTTTTCTGTTGGCTCCAAAGAATGACCAGAAAACACCTTCAAAAAAAATGTTTAATGAAATAGCTACAAATGTGACATGACTGTGGTCAATGGCAAATCAACTCTTCTATGGGATGGACATACTTTATTTATCTGTGATGAGGCTTGTTTGAATATGAGAGAGGATGTTGAGATTGTCTCAAATGAAGAGTCCTTAGGACCTACAGGCGTGCTCAAATGACCCTGCCACCGACGGAGCAAAAGGTCACCTGAGAGTTGAGAATTTGCCCAATTTCTGGCCGAGCGTTTAATTGAATTGGGGCCGTAGGAAGATAGAGTGCTTGCCTCCAAAGTTCTGGGGACAATTGTCAGGCGCTTGGCTCTCCTAAAACAAAGACAATAGAGCAAAGCTCCAGGCAAACGTGACTTTGAGTAATGCCACTTGTTAAGTTAAAAGGGTGCTCAAGTCCCCCCCCCCCCCCACTCCCTGCCAAACACACAACACACCTCATTAGCTAAATGAATTGACCTGCTCAATGGGGTTATTTAATATCTGCCTATGACTTTGGAGAAAGCCTGCCAAAAACGAAATCTCGGTTTTGACATAGTTGACGCTAAACTCTATTTTTTTCCTGACTATTATTTGTCAAACAGATTGCTGAGCTGGGTACAGCCCCGTCTGCGGAGTGTAGGGCCCCATCAACACAGCTCTTACTCGCTATGACAGCAGGAAATGTGGCCAATTAACTTAAAAGCTGAATCCCGTTGTTGGGACCTAAGTCAGAAGGAAGGGCGCCAGGACTCCATGCCATCTCCATCACTTTAAAAACACAACTCAGGCGCCCGAGAGGGATTCCAGAAGTTGCAGCAGAATCTAGGGCCTTAGAGAAACATGCACGGCAGGACCAGGGCCACCCGCCCTGTGGCTTCAGAGCCAGGACTGTCCCAATGAGTCTCCCGTTGTTTCTACCACTTTCCTCTGTGAAACGACTTGGTTTCACAACAGAGGGCAGTCTTATGGGTGTGCCTCAATTCTTCTTCTCCCCTTGTACCATATCGCAAGCCTCAAAAAATTCAAGTCAACACTCAAAACCAGAAGTTATATCAAAAAGTCAGATTTCCAGCTCTAGACAGCTTGGAAAGCTCTGGCTGCCTTTGACCCACATTTCTGTCGGAGCTGAGCCATGGCGCCCTCTTCAGACAGGGGAGTGTGTGTCAGTTTGCCTCAGACCTCACCTTTCCCTATAGTCTCCCCCACGCAGCTCCCTCACCCACACAGCAGGTCTGTATCTTGTGTGAGGCACAGAACCTAGAATTAAGCATAGACGCTGCCCCATAAGGTCCTGCAGTGAGTTGGGTTCCAGCAAGAAAGGAGAAAGCTGGTGGGAGGTGGTGCTGGGGCCATTGGGGATGGGACACACGGAAAGAAGGTGCCAGCTCCTTCTACCAGCTCGTCACCGTCTTTCACACCACCACCTCCACATTCAATGCCAATGTGCTGCCTTTCAACAAATCAGGCGCCCTGTGGAGAACATGTTTGGAGAACCAAGTTCTCCCCCGACCCCACCCCGCCCCGACTCAAGCCTCAGACCCCTCAAGGAGGGCTCAGGGAAACTTCTGGAACATTACTAGCTGTGGGAGCCTTCGGTTCTGTGAGCTTTACAAACTGAAGCTCACTGCACAGGGCCTGCCGGCATTTGCCAACACGCGTTTGTAGCCTAACAGCTGAGCTGCTCTGCTGATTGTTGGGACTCCGGCCACCGGTGCATTAGACAGCCTCCGGACGCGGGACAAGGTAATTGGCCCTCATCACCCTGAGTGGCGTTATCAGGCACCGCGTACAAACAGCCTAAAATTAAAGGCTGGCATGGAGCCTATTAGGGCCGTAATGGGTTACAAAATGAACACAGCTCACCTATTTCTATCACTCCTTCCGCAGGTCATCTGCAACCAGGACAGATAATTTACTATCTGATTCAGATTAATTGCCATGTTTTCCTGCCTTCCTGCTCACCAAGGGTCGCCGTGGACCCGAGCTCTGCAAACGTGGCCCAGCTCAGCTTTGCCCAGAAAACATCCCGTGGGAGCTCCGCCGTGTTCTTCTCCTTGGGGCCAGACCCAGACTCGCCTCCCTGACGAGCCTGGCTCAGGTCTTCGGGCCCTTCGCCCCTGGCTTGGGCAGCTGGGTGGACAGGAACATTTGCTGCTCATCCTGCCTGCGGTTCAGCTGGTGGGCGATGTCCTTGGGGGTCATCCCCTTGGCATCTTTGGCGTAGACGGGGGCCCCGTGTTGGAGCAGGAGGCCTATACATTCCGAATGGCCCATGAACGCAGCCACGTGCAGGGGTGTCCTGCCCATGGGGGAGCGGCTCAGACAGCTGGCTCCTGTAAAATAAGAAAGCTGCCTGAGGGAGGCACATCCAGGAAGAGAAGCATGGAGGGGCTGAGGCTATGAAAGGAATATTAGGGAAATTAACAACTGCTCCCATGCTCAGCACCAGGTCTCAGGGAGGGGGCAATGCACCCCCAGCACCCAGCATGGCCTCAACTCCACGCTGCTCCTCCACCGCAGCCAATGACCTTTCAAAAAGCCAATCACCCTCCTCCAATCCCGTTGCTGACATCCACTGCCCTTGGGGTAGTGTTCTAGGTCTTTACTGCTCTATCTCCCCTCCCCTCCCATCCCCCTTATCACTCCAGCAACACCCCCACAATGTTCTTCCTCCCCACCCTGCACGCTCGGATCATACCAGCCTTGCATCTTCACCCCTTAAATATACCCTGCTCCCCCATCCTGCCCCTGGCCCTTTGCATGTGCTGTGCCCTTTGCCAACAACACTCTCAGCCTTCTTCCTCGCCCCTGGGCTCACAGTACCCTTCCTTAGGTCTCATTCACTCCGCCGGGAAACCCCTCCCTCCCCAGCACCCCGAGCTCCTGTGTATAAGACACACTGTGCACACCAACCATGGAATTCATTGCTTGTACTCATGTGCTGACTTCCCTTCATAAGCTCCACGAGGGCAGAAGACACAGTGGTTCTGTTTTCCTCCCCAGCACCTAGAGCAATGCCTGGGGAAGCCAATCGGCCAGGCGATGACAGACGGACGATGGGCTTGACTCATAGACAGACTTGGCTTTGACCACACCCCTCACTGCCCCCTGCAGGTGGATGGGCTAGTGACGGGTGTCCAACGTGGACTTGTTGAATGGAATCAAACTCTGGGTAACAAATGTCGTGACACAGAAAACCAGGCACTTTAATTCCATGCAACTGACATGTGGGGAGCCCATTTCTATGAGCCATGCTGGTCAGTGAGGTAAAGGGTTCATTAAACAAATTCTCCTAACGCCCAGCCTGGGCCAGATCGCCTCTCCCCAACGGCCGTCTGCAAAGGACAGAGAACGTTGCGAAGCTGGCTGTAATTTTTTAACTGGCGCTTTCAAATACATCACAGTTCCATCAGAGGGAGAATGACGTTTTATGAGCTTAAAGGACTGCTGGGCTGTGAAAAGCCCATATTTCATCTCACAACAGGCGGAGTGCAGAAGGCAGGGGAGGGGGACACAGCCCGGAAGCTCTCTCCATCCGGGTGCTTGCCTGCCCTGCTTGCTGGAGGTGGGAGGAAGCAGACTGAGTGGAGGGAGGCTGGGTCAAGGCCACAGGTGGGAAAGAAAGGGTCTAATCTGGGGGCGTTGACAGGGGAGACCCTTGGATGAGGCCCCCTTCTGAGCTTCCAACCATTGACCAACGACCCTGCCTGTCACACGCTTCCCTTTCCCAAGGAAGCCTGGCCTGGCCTGGCCTGGCTGCAACTACTGTGCATTGTTCTTTAATGGGCGACACCTCAATCTGTGGGCCTCTTTCCTCAAAAATGTCCTACATCCAGGGAGATGAAGCCCACTCTTGCAGAATCTCCTAAGAAGCCCTTAATTCAGAGACAATGCAGGCTAAGGCTGGGGGTGGGGAGAGAGAGCAGGAAAGAGGGAAAGAGGGTTTGGGGTGATTAGCTCAAGGCTTGGAGGAAAGGGACTGCCAACCACCAAGAGAACGGTGCCAGCTTGGGGCCCCTAGTCCATGGCAGAAACCCAACCTCAGCTGGGGTGCGAATCACACCGGCATTGGGGACGCCCCAGGGTGTCTGGTTGGACATGGAGCCAGGAAGCCCCTTCTGCTGCTCTCCCACAGCAGAAAGGATTCCCTGGAGACCTGGCCGAGAGAGGGGACCAGCCTCTGGTTAACATGTCCTAAGACACCTCGGTCAGGGACCGTGATGGATGGTTGACAAGACCTGAGACCAGGAAACCATTGCTGAAGGAACCAGGAAGACAAACCACTCTGTCCTCCCTCCTCACAAAGGATTCCAGCTCTTGAACATACTCCGCTGTGTCTCACAATTACCTTTTTCTAGAAGATACTGCACCGCTTCCACGTGGCCTCTGTGCGAGGCAATGTACAAGGCCACGAAGGCCCTCTGAGCTATCCACTTCTTCCACTGCTTCTCTCCCAGGTAGTGCAAAGTTGGGGGTCGGTACGGAGAATCCTCACTCACTCCAAGGCAAGACAGCTAGGCAAGACGCACGGAGTGGCGTGAGCGTGGGTGGCCGCCCAGCACAGCTCATCCCTATTCATCGAGCTTATTTTCTAGAAAGAACACACACTTGCCCCCTTGTGTCTGAGTGATTCATCTTCACCGTTGGGTGGACAAGCTGGTTTCCACCACCACCACCCCCCCCATGGCTTGGCAAACAGTAGGCGCCTGCTGTGTACCAGAGAAAGGCAGATCCGCCAGGACAGGGCACCTGCCCGTGTGCCAGGCCGAGAACCTCCAGGGCACCCGGGGTGCTGCACTGGCGGTTAATTAGGTTTCCAACTTTACAAAGTACACACGTGACTAGAGAACACATTGTCCAGATTCTTTTGGGGGCACGAGTGGGTTATAAGTCAAAAGTGAGTGAACACAGTGAAATCACAAACCCAGCGAGTGAGTGGAACACTTGATCCAGGATTTGATCATTAGGACGTAAGTCCTTGTTATCTTTTCTCCCTGCTCTGAAACTTCTACTCAGATACTCACATTAAAGACTGGGTGACTCCCCCTTAGCCACCCCCCCCCCCCCCGCACACACACTATTTACAACTGCTTCATGAAGTGTAATATCCATTTAAAGAATCATGAAAACACCTTACTGATATCCCCTTCCACAGCCGCCTGAACCAGGTCCGTCCATCCATCATAACGCCAGACATGTAATGAAATAATTCCGCCAGGGACGACATCGTGAAACCTCAGGGTAGTGTCATCCATCAAAATTCCTGCGAAGAATCAGTTTTTCTTTTCTTAAAAAAAAATGGGTATTCAAGATAAACTATTACGTTAGTTTAGTTAAGAGGTGATCTGAACTTGGGTATCACTAAGATAACTTCAGAACCTTGAGCACTAATCTCATGGGATGGCTCCACACAAACCTGTTTGTGGCCTCTAATGCTTTCAGGAAATTAATGTGGCTCAGCTCAAAGAGAAGCCAAACAAAAAAAAACAAACAATATTTTTAAAAAACCACAAGGCAACTATTTATAAAATTCTGTAATTATAACTCATCCTGTTGCAAAAAACACGAGTCACAAACTCTACAAACAGAGTGAAAACTTGAAGTAACTAGGTTATCCTTTACATATAGCACAGCACAGTGCAGTCATACCAGTTACAGACGTCAAACTAAGACACCCTGGAGACTGTTGTCATCGCTGGGTAAGTAGCAGCAATGGCAAACATTGTTGGATCTTTGCTTTCTCCATAAGCAATGCCACACATTGGTCTCATCTCTACTTGGACTGGATTATCATTTACTCCTGCTGGAATTCACCAGTGTTTGGGTTTTTTTTGGTTTCATGATCAAGTCATTACTACACACCTGTAAGAAGTACCTACATTATTATTATTATTATTTTTAGTTCTCACCCATGGATATGTTTTTATTGATTTTAGAGAGAAGGGGGCGGGGGGGACACTGATGGGAAAGAGAAACATCAATTGATTGCCTTACGTACGCACCCAGACCGGGGGGATCGAACCTACAACCTAAGTATGTGCCTAGACCAGGAATCGAACCTGAAACCTTTTGGTGTATGGGACAACTCTCCAACCAATTGGCTCAATTGGCCAGGGCAGAAGTGCCCACATTATGTAATCCTCCTGGCAAGTGAGGCCTGTCACCTTCGTTTGCTGATAAGCAAACTCAGGCCCCCAGTGCATGGCAAAGCCAGGACTCCAACCAGACCTGCCCCCTTCCAGCTCTGGGCGCCGTCCCTCTGGGCTCTGCCGGCATCTCTGGTTCCCAGCGACTCCGGATGGTGGATGTAAACAGGAAGTGGTGGCTGGCAAATCTGTTAATTAGGGTCTTGTTTGTGGTTCCAACACAGAGGATAATCAGTAATTAGACTAAGCAAGACAACCTGTCTTCCCATCAACCTTGAAGAAATTGAGTAAAGCTGTGTTTCCCTGCGAACGACAAGTGTGCGAGTCACACATGCTGAGCAGCTCCTCGGGAAGAAATCAGAGCACATTCTTCCTCGCAGGCAGGCAGCGACTCCAGCTTACACAAACACTAATTATCACCCGCTTAAATAAATTATTAGAGCTGACGGCAGACCCGTCAGGGCGACCCTGGTCTGCGGATTTGCTCACCCCTTTCAGATTTGTGTCTCTCAAGGTTTTCACATACATTAGCTCATCTGACCCCTTGGCAACCTTGGAGGTGGGCACAGAGGTATCGGCTGGTTACATAGAGGCAGGGGCCCACATTTCATCCATCAGCGCGGTCCCACCTTCTCTCTTTCCTGTTGGCCGTCCACAGGAAGGACCACAACCGAGGGAGAGGTCAAGCTGCTGACACTCGCTAAGTGCTGGTTGAGGGACAGGATTGTGACATCGGCGGTAAGTCACAATCCTGTGACTTCGCTTTCTTGAATTTACTGCTCAGCATAGCTCATCAGCAGAAATAAATTCACAGAAGGGGGCCAGACATTGGTAGTTCAGGAGACGTAATTTTCGGATTACTTGTTTTGGAACTCGAAGTCCTTCAAGAGTTCACCTCATTTTTAACATGTTAAATACAGACGGGGTCTGAGCTCTATCCCTCTGAATAAAGCCTCAGAAATGCCCCAAAGCATCTGCCCGATACTCTTCTAGTACAACTGATACACAGGAAGGCACCTCAGCACCCACAGCGCCTTTCCGAGTCGTTCTGTCGAGGGAGGGACATGGCTCCGAGAAGTCTCTGGCTGAGAGGGCTCAGAGCACAGATGAAGATGAGAGCTGCCCTGGAGCTGCACCCGGGCTGCTTCTGATCTGTCTCCATCGTCCTGGCCTCTGCAGCGTCACTGCAGTGTGCCTGCAGTGTCCCACTCACACCCTCTGTGCTGCAGCCACAGAGCTTTTCAGATCTTCCCTTTCTTCAAGAGTTTTTGCGTTGATCTCCACTGGTGGGGAGATGACGGAGGCCGGGGGCTTTGATCCTCTTATCCTAGATATCGTAGGGATGGGGACAGGCCAGCCAGGTCCTCAGGCTGACAGAAGGAGGCTGGTGGAGAGGAAGAGACTGGGCACAGGCATTTCCCCTCCACTGGGTGCCTCTCACGTGGATGTGTCTGGACAGGGAGCTTCGGATGCTGGTTGATTCCTGTTGGGCTAGCTCTGAGCTCCTGATGGGGACAAGGACACAGCTTGAGATTGGGGTTTGGATACGAACTGGGTTAGTGCCAGTGCTCGGGGTTCAAAGGTGGACAGGGTTTGCTTTGAGATCTGGGGTTCTGATGAAGGCAAGGTTTACTTTCTATTTTAGGAAGGATCTGCTCTGGGATGTGCAGTCCTTGCATCTGTAGGACTTGTCCCAAGATTTGGGGGTTCTGATGTAGCCCTGGGTAGTGTGGCAACTGGGGGTGATGAATTGAACAGGTCTTCCCTGAAATTTGGGGGTCTGACACAGACAGGATTTGGTCTAGAATTTGGGGTTCTGATGTAGATTAGGTTGGCTAAGGGATTTGGGTTTCACATACTAGTACAAGCAGAGTTGGCTTTAAGATTTGGGGTCCTCATATACAGTAGGCGAGGTTTATTTTGAACCTCAGCTTCCTTACATGGGTATGGTTGGCTTAAATCTTGGAGTGCTGATATAGACATGGTTCCCATGGAGAGTTGGGGTGCAAATATGGGTAGATTTGACTTGATTTTGGGGTGCTATTATGGTCAGAGTTTGTCTCATGCTTTGGAGCCCTATGAGGACACTTGCTTGGGGTTGGATTCTGGTGTACTCAGCCATGGTGAACTTGGGATTTGCTTCAGCTGTGGGCAGAGTTGGCTTTGAATTTGGGGTCCAGATGTGGGAAGTTTGTTTTAGGGTCTGGCATCCTTACAAACACAGTAATGGCTGATGGATTGGGGTTCTGATGCACAAATGATTGATTAGAGATTGGGGGCTCAGAATTGGGCATGTCTGCTCTGACTTAGGGTCGTGATCTGGGTAGAGTCTGTTGCAGGCAGGGGCAGCTTAGGGACTTTATTTGAGGTTCAAACGTGGGCATGGTTTGCCCACAGATATGGGTCCTCAAGGGGGCAGTTTGTCTCAGGCTTCAGCGCTCACCAGTGAACACGGTCGCTGGAGGATTCGGGGTTCTGATGGCCACTTGGATAGCCTGGGGTCTGGGGTTCAGTCTTGGCCAAGTTTCTTGGTTTTGGGTCCCAATGTGGGCAGGGCTTGTTCTGAGCTTTAGTGTCCTTGTGTGGACTCAGTGGCCAGAGGATTCAAGGTTCTAAGGCAGTCATGGTTACCCTGAAAATTTGGGGTTCCGGCTTGGGCAGGTCTGTTCTGGATTTGGGGTGCTGAGGTGAACAGGGGCTGTTTCGCTCTTTAGTGTCCTTGCATGAACAGTTTCCGAAGGATGTGGGGTTCTGAGGCATCTGTGGTGAGCCTGGAGGTTTGGGGCTGTCTCAGACAGGTTTGTTCTGGGCTTGGGGGCAGGTTTGTTTTGGCCTTTGGTGTCCTTGTGTGGACATGGCTGGCTGGAGGATTGGGATTCTTATGTCCATGTGTCCAGCACAGGGACTTGGAGTTTGCTTTGAGTTTGGGGTCCTGCTGCGAGCAGGTCTGCCCTGGGTTATGGGGTTCCACTGTGGAAGGCTCTTTTAGGGCTTGCAGTCTTGTGTGGACACTGTTGGCTTTGGGATTTGGGTCCCTGATGAAGACTTGGGGAGCTTGAGGGCCTGAGCTGCTGGGGGTCCTGCTGTGGCAGACGGTTTGGGATTGGGTTCCTGGCATGGGCAGGATTTGCTTTGGGATTGGAACCCTAAGAGATAGGGCTGTTGGTGGAGTGGGGTCGTCCTGTGGACAAGCTTTGTCTTGAGATTTGAGGTCTGATGTGACTTTGTCTGGGACTGGGAGAACCAGTGTGGCCAGGGACTGCTCTTCCACCTGCGGGTTCCAGGGGGCTGGGTGTGTTATGACACCTGGGGGTCCTCACTGGGCTGCTTCCCTTTGGGGTCAGCAGGTTCAGAGGGGACTGGGCGTCCGGGGCCAGGGAGTATGCAAGGCTAGGGGAGGGGTTGAGAAGGGGCCACCTTGGTCCAGGTACTGGAGCAGCTGGAGGTTCAAGGGGATGCCGGCTGCCAGGTCCAGCTGCTCCTTGAGCTCCTGCACCGTCATGTCGCCATGGCAGTCTGTCACTGTGAACATCTCCCCAGTCTCCTCCAGCAGCACCCGCATGACAAAGACGTCTGGGGCCAAGTCCAGCGCCATGTTCACGGCCTGCGGGTCCCCGCTGTGGCTCAGGCTGTGGGTGCGGCCCCAGACGAGGGGTTTCGAGGGGGAGATGCCGCGGGCCCACGGAGCCCGGCCCCCGCCCGCCCCGCTGGCCCGCGGCAGAGTCCGGGCGAAGGGCGCCCCCCTGCGGCTTCGCCGTCCGCTCTCCCCCAACGCCCGCCGCCCCCTCTGCCGCCCGCCCGGTCCCCGCCGTGCGTCACCGCTTAGCTCAGAGGCCGCGCGTCATCGCCGCCCCCTCTGTGGGCCTGAGGCCCCGCAGTAAACAGCGGCGCAGCTCACGTGGCCGTGACGATCTTAAGTCAGCGGAGGGCACAGGCGCTCCCTACGACAATGGGAAGCTTTACTGACATCAACACAGAGGCATCGCCACGCCCCCGCCCCCCAGCTCCCACCAAGTCCCCACTCCATCGCCAAGCTTGCAAGCTGCTCTTAGTGTCAGTTCCTTTCACCTGGAAAACGAGGCAGCTTCTGACCGCTGCTAGGAACTGTGGCCTCTCTATCTCTGTAAAATACAATCTTTGCTAATTGGGGACCAACTACCCGGAGGAATTATGCTGAACAAGGCTCTAAATCAAGCTTCAGGCAGTCTTTAGTCCTGCTTAAAAACCGTATTTCTAGCATAAATAAAAAAACAAAAACATTGCAGAAATATGACCCCTTTCAGCAGATTTAGGGGGCGAGAGTAGGGGAGCACGTGGCCACTCCGGAAGTGGGAGACAGACAGACCTTCATGAGTTCGCAAAGCTGCATCAAAACCCACCAATTCTGAAATGTTCTGGAATTATTGGAGTGAGAAAGGTGCTGATAAAAACACTCAACAAGGGGCACTGTCCATGTGGCAAAGGCTCTGTTGTTAGAATAGCTTTCAAGGGAGCTCGATCTTATGAAACCATCTTGTGCTTTTCCATTAATTCACCAGAGAGGAGGCCCAGCATTCAAGTAAATAGGAAGCTCACTTGTGATGGTCAAATCCCAAGCACTCCACCCCTGGGCCCATGAACAGTTCATACACGAAGAGCTAGAGCAGAGGTGGGCAACCCCGGCACGCGTACCAAACATGGCACTCCAGTAACTTTTGCTGGCACGCGAAACCCTCTCTTATAATCTTCCATTTACAATTTTTTCTTAATATCGACTTTATTTTTCAGATAAATTCAGTGTAGGTGCATCTTAGATAAATAATTTTACATAGCAAGTTATCATAAAGACCATAGACATGGATTGACGAGAAAGGGGAAGAGCAATTTCTATGCCTCTGCCTTAAACTCTCCCTGCCTTCCTAGATCCGACCAGTGTTTTGGTTTCATCCACATACGCTTGTGAATCTTTGTTCTCAGTGATGCATTTTAAGTCCCATAATAGGAGTAGCCTGACGGATGAAAGTAGTAGCTCGTGCATATCTCTGAAGGTCACGAAATATAAACCTGATGTAAAATCTCTGTCATCAGTGATGCAGCAGCAAAAGTCCCACTGATAATATCAAACTGAGTCATAAAGTTTTCTGTCGGACTATCAGTGTACATGTATACATTAAAAATAAATGTATTTTTCATCATCATATACTGTGTTTTTGTCGCTCGAATAATTTTATTATTTCTTCAAGGTTCTTCACATACGTACACCTTAAGAGATATCAAGTAGGCGTAACATGTTCTCAAAAAATTAGGGTTGGCACGCAGAATTTTGAATCAGAGATTTTGCTGGTTTTGGCACACACTCACAAAAAGGTTGCCCACCCCTGAGCTAGAGTGATGGGGGCCCTAGCCAGTTTGCTCAGTGGTAGAGTGTCAGCTGGTCCCGGGTTTGATGCCTGTCAAGGGGACATACTGGTTGCAGGCTCCTCCCTGGCCCAGGCTGTGGACTGGGCTCATATAGGAGGCAACCAATCTATGTGTTTCTCTCACATTGATGTTTTTCTCTGTCTTTCCCCCTCCCTTCCACTCTCTCTAAAAATCAATGGAAAAAATATCCTCAGGTGAGGATTTAAAAAAACTAATGATGGGGAAAAACAGAAGGCACAGGAACCAGAACAATCATAGTGAAAGCTCAATGGTTATAAAAATGAAATTAAAAAGAATAAAATATAAGCTTTAAGCATACTTTTTGCAGCGAAATTAGTCACACACACAAAAATCTTTGCCTTGGAAAGACAGTCACATCATAGAAAACTGTTAACATATAAACTGACACATTAAAGGCTGAATTATTTACAGAGTCTCTAGAATGTCTACCAGCACATTTGATTCAGCGTGCGAATTCCACACATCACAACACAAACAGAAGCTAATCTTTTTTCCTTAATGGAAAATTAAGCTCTTCACAGAATACAAGATTCCACTTGAATAATTCTACTCTGGCTTCTATATCAACAAATTTGAACAACATAGCAATCTCAATTTCTAGGCAATAAAAAAAAATCGCTTGTTACTGAAGCAAAACACTACCTCCATCTACTTACTGTAGGCAAGAATTGAACACAAAATGAAGTTATTTGTTTTTCTTAATATGTAGCCTCTGATTTATTAACCCACTTTTTGCTGAAGTTGCCAAAACGCAACCCCGGTTACACTTTGAGACTCCCACAAGTGCATCCTGTTTTCTTTGGTGCCAGAAATGCCTCCCCTTCTGTTCAAAGCAGCAGCTCCATGGAACTGGGGAAGGGGAGAGGATCCTGGACACCTGGAAATTCAATATGTGGTTCCAGATATTTTATTTAAAACAAAGAAAAGACAGCTCCAAGGGAAGCATGGACACAGCTGATGTGCCCTTGGCAGCTGCCCTTGGACCTCTCTGGCAGCCCCTTCCTTCCCTTATGCCCACCTTTGAGAAGATACACATGGAAACACAGTAACATGAGCATACATTATTTAATTTAATGTTTATAGAACCTTGAATTACTAATAAGAAAACCTATTTAAATTCTAGAGCATCTTTCTTGGTTCAAATTGTAAAAGCATGAAATCTAAGTTCTGTATACTTAGATCAATTTGAAGAGTATCATAATTTTTTATTTTTTTAAATTTATCTTTATTGTTGAAAGTATTAGAGTATCATCATTTAACACCCCAAACCACTGGCATTTGTGGGCAAGTATATGGACTGATCAGAACTGGTTTCCTATTTTTTTTTTGTTAAGATTCTAAAGCATTAAGTATAAAGGCAATGTCCATGCATCTCAATGACCAATTTCCTTCCTGAGTTCTTAAGCATATAATACTATATCCACCTAAAAATGAATTCCTTCTGCAACATGCCTCTATCAAAGACCAACACATTGCTTTATGGCTACAGTCCTGCAAGAAGGGGAGGGGATGAAAAAAAGTTCCAAACAGAAGTTTATAACAAACATACAAAAGATTGCCTGCCACAAATCATCCTTTAGTAGATTTCTTTCACTATCACATTTTTCAAAAGTAAACAAATTGGGCTATATTTGCCACAACTCAAAGTAGAGCATAAATTTAAATGATGTATTTGTTTTCTTCAATGATAGGAGGCTAATGTTACATTAATATCTTTTCTTCCTGTCAAGAGTTATTTACATATGTATAGTATTTCAGTTAAAAATAAAATATAATACCATAAACTACATTTTATAGGAAAGCATAAGGCAGCCAAATGTGCAAGTCTTTAAAGACTGAAAAACTTCTAATAAACTACTTTATTTGGGGAGGCTTTAAATAATATAGTCTATCATAGAGAAAACAACTGCTTACAAGTAACCTGAGGCTGTGGAGGCCCCCACACCCAGTTAACCACCTGGTTCTAGAACCTTTCAGACCCTGGATCAGGTAGGTGGGGCGCAGAAGCATGGCACAGACCGGTCCCAGGTGCAGTCCCATGACTGCATGTGGGAAAGGGGTCATTTGACTGTGTGGTGTCAGAGTTTCAGAAGTTTCCCTCCCTCAGCAGGTCTGATTACATAAGAGATGTGCCCCAAGTACAGAAGGAGCGGTTGTGAGCGATCCCAGAGCTCAGTTCTGTTTCTCTAGCATGGTAGTGTCCACAAGATTCCCCCGCTTTGGCTCCAGCGTGGCAAAAAAGGAGACATCTTGGTCCCGGTCTGACTGCAAAGCTAAGATGGTCTCTTCAACGAGTTCAAGATGAGGGTGGCCGGCATTTCTAAAGTACGCTAGAGAGAGAAACCATGAGTTTGAATCACGTGTGCCATGAATTGTGTTCTAAAACATCTTCTACTTTGGGGGTTCTTAAACCAAATCTTAGGACAATACATCATTTTTCAAAGAATTATCATATAAATAAGTCCTTTAAAGTGATCAAATTGCTTTAATCAAAGATTATATACTAAATTTTAAAGATATGCTCCTAAGAATTGGTAGGCATATTTAGAAAATTATAACTAAAAAACTTTCACTATTATTTTTTCTTCCCTCCAGTAGAAGTGAACTATCCAAGGCCCCTATCTTACACTAAGTCCTGTTCAGGTGAAAATAACTGACCAGGCTGAGCAATATATTTTTTCTTACTGACTACAAGACCAGACCGTTAAAACCTAACTGTAGTTCAGGCTTAAATTTGCTACCTTTCATAATCTGTATATCACAACTCAAAATTTGCAGTTTCCTTCCTTTCTAGATTATGTAATATTTTGCATTTTAGCATGTTGATTAAATGTAAAAACTGAACCACGTTGATTTCCTCAGTCCTTTTGTGAATAACATAAAATATACATGAAAGTGAATGTATTAACTTATATCATAAATCGGAAGTGTGCTATCACATGACTTGCCACGATTTCCTAGAGAGGAAACCTCATTGCTACCTGATCGAGTTTAAGATGTATAAGCTCAGAAAGCGGGTGCACGTACCCTTGTCCAAGAGTGTCTGCCTCAGAGCTTTGGCGAGCAGCACCCTGACATTGGGCACAGGGTCTGAGGCAAGGCTTAGAAGGCTGGGGAGTAGGTGTTCAACAAACTGGTCCACAGGGATACACTCCTCACTCACCACGGCCTGCGATGAAAAGATAAAGAACTGACATTTCAATGGTGATCAGCACGGTTCTCCTCAAAACACCCACTTCTGTAATCCCAAAGAAGCAGTTTCAGAACCTGTGGGTCTGAGGGGCATGTGTGTCTTAACTTAAAACTCTCAACCACTGATCTGGTCAGAAACACAGTTAACATTTTGTAACTCCTCACCAAGCACGGAGGTACAAGTGGTACAATATCTGGAGGAGAAAGCAAAGGCTTTGAGTCAGTCAGGTCC